ACTTCGAACTTATAGAGGTTAGAACAACATATATATCCTTTGTTCGAAGTCCAGTATCATGAAGCTTCTCAATTGTGTCTAGTTTATCCTGATCAAATTTGCGCATATTACTACTAAACTTTCTAGCATCCAGATAAATTTCGTGACTATGCTTCAAGTGTAATCAGGTTATGGCAAATTTATTTGTGCACTTATGGTAATTTATTCCAATAATGAAAGGACAACCTATCTGCTTAGTGGTATGTACTTCTTTTTTTCCATTATAACTCCTCTGTTTTTCACAAGCAAAAAGTACCTGTCTATAACCACTACCATTAGAATTTTTTTGTTGTTTTTGCTATGATTATAACAATGTTGGTTTGTACTGTATAATCTTCTATAAATACACAAGCTTCATCAAAAGTAAAAAATTCGTCCCTTATTTTAGGAACAAGAGTTTTATTAGTAGCTATGTAATAGAATTAACAAAGAATAGAAGCAAATAACAGAAATCAATATAAGCAAATAATTGATGAAAAATGCCAACAATGAAGAAATATGAAACTAGAGCAGTATAAGATTAATTAATCTATCGCTATTACTATTTATATTATTTAAATGTGTGATTTTATTGGTTGATAAAAATTGATGAAAAGTATACTATTTTATTGGGTCGATAATTTTTTTTTGATATACTGATGTATGCAAATAATTGTCAAATTTCGAGTGACTCAATTAACACTGCGATTTCATTGGCCAAACCTAAATTGATGTACGTGAAGTTACACAAAACTGATGTACAAAAATCATTTCTCAAAAAAAAATTTTATCACGTGGATTATAAAAAAACTTAAAAATTTTTTTGCAATTTATGATTTGATTGGTTGATAGGTCGGAAGGTCGGATGCTTATTTTAACCTTAATCGAATATCACGTGTTAAATTTTGATTGGTCGATCACGGGGATGCACGACCATGCAGGTGCACGAAATTCTTAAACCCTATTTTTTATTTTATTTTTATTTTTATATATTTTAGGTATTTTTTTTTTTTAGCATGATAGTGAAATTAGAATCAAATTTTTTTGTTGATATTTATACTGGTTAGTTTGTTAAGGGAAGTTAATTCTATGTTTGAGTTGTGATTTCAAATGATTCGAATGTAATTGATAAGCTTGGTATTAAATGTGAAAATGAGTGGATTATTAAACTTTAATATTTAATTTAATG